AGTGACTATTAACAGGGATAAGTGTGATTACAAAATCTTGGAATGCTAAGGTGGCAAATGGTTAATTTTGCCATCTCATTGGGAATAAAAGAAGCCATCTTAGCAGAATGAGGGATCTCTTTCTAATCAAGAACAAAGATCCATAACTGCAATGAACCCTGTGGACCCCAAGAGTCCTGTGTGTTGAACTTCCTTGAGCCAGAAGATAGAAAGGCTAGACACCAGAGAAGTTACCACAGCAGCAACTGAACCAAGAGTTAGAGCAAGCTATGGCGCTCTGGAACTCCTTGTCCACAGTGCGAGTAAAGTTGAGTTTCTTCAGGCAGGGGCAGTGTCTCCAGGCACTTAATTGGGGGAGCTAGGTTTGCTAGAGGGGAAGACCATCGTGTGAAGGCTTATGGAAGAGGGGAGTGCATTTGAGCTTTCGTCAGCAGCACTAAAGGAGATGCATCACATTGGTTGAGCAGGATAGAGGCCAAAGACCACATGGCTGAGAGGTCAAGGGTCAGAGAGAGTGTGCTCTTGTGCTCATAGCCAAGAAAAAATGATCCTGACTAAAGACTATCTCCCGAGCATTTCTAATCCTGCATTGTAACCTCTTAACTTCCCCAATAAGTCTCATAGTCATGAATATCCTCTGTAAGTTCCATGTGGCCATTGCAATGAATTATCAAATGCAACAGAGTAATAGAAACTGCTAAGGGAAAGATGTCTGATGTCTGTGTTAGGCTGGGTTTTACACACACACACACACACACAAACACACACACACACACTTGACTCTCAAAGAGATGTCAAGATGGGAGCAAGTTTGACCTTAACCTCATTGGAATTAGACATGGAGTGGTATTGAGTTTGATTCTCCTACCCCCTTGTGAAGGGAGAGAAGATGGGATATGGCTTCCGCACTATTTTTACAGTGAAGTGTATGGTGAAGGCCATTACTTATCAGTCAGTTTGCCACATTGTGACGACTTATGTGTTGCTATGATGCTGGACATTTTGCCACCGGCATTTCAAATACCAGTAGAGTCGAGTAGATAGGTTTTGGCGAAGCTTTCAGACTAAGACAGAAAAGAGAAAATGAACACACTGTCATCGCGTGGATTCGGGGGTAGTAAAGAGGAAATAACAATAAGTGGTCCACTTTGGAGGGATGAGCTACAAAAAGCTTTATGAATAGCAGTGGCACATTGTCTGATACAGTGCCAGAAGATGAACCACTCAAACTGAAAGTGACCCCAAGCACTCAGACTGTGACCCCCATGGCTCTTATAATGATATTATTAATATGTAAAGACCCTGTGGTCTAGGGACTTTACCTGAAGCCCAGGAATAAACAGCTAGAAAGAGTATCCCTGGAGTGTTTGCAAACAATAGAGTTGAGAAGAGTTTATAAAACTAAGATGGGGGATTAAACATCTGTCTACTGTCACCAGAGAAGATGGAAGGTAGAGACTTTTATTCTCTGGGTTTTAGGAAAAGTCTAATTTTGGATCACCTTATTCAATAAGTCATATGTACTTCAATATAGAATTAAATATGCAAACGTTAATATTTCAATTTGTATAATATAATCAAATCAGCATATTCCAAAACTAGGAGGAAAATTATATGCTAGACTCTGTGGAAGTTCCAGGTTTGGAAAATAGAAGCCATTATAAGATCTGTCACTGTTTGTGGGATCTGAGAGCACTTAGCACAATGCCTTCTAACAGAATGACCAGCACCCATACATGCTGGTGAAGCATGCCACTTATATTATGTTCCTCCTCCTCTTAGAATTCCTGATACCATTGCCATTTTAGGAATGAATATGTTGACCCTTTACATGCTTAGTGTAAGCGTGGACTTTGAGTTAATAATAGGCACTCATCTGGCCCTGCCATTGGCCAGTTGTGTTCTGTGCAGTAGCTTCTTAGGTATTTCTTTTATTCATTCTATAAGTAACCAAGGGAGGAAGGAATGGAAATGTCATGCCTGAGACACATTTTGTGTTGAATCTCTGCTTGTTGACTATAAAATTGAGCCAGAATCTTATGACAGTTTAACCATGCTGTGGAGGCTTGATTATAAAGTCTAGTAGGCAATAAAAGGTGTGAAATTTCTGCAGAGGCAGCGAGGAGTTTCTCAAAATAGTGGAGCTAGACTTTCAGCTGGATTTTCAACTAAATCATTTTCCCCCCATCAAGTTTCCTCCATTGTGTTACCTAGTAATATTATGACATTCTTACCTCTGATCTTAGTAAAGGACTGTATTTATAGCATATTTTATAAATTCTTATGACTCACTCCATAAAGCCTGTCATAAACTGGAACTTTAAAAAATGAGAGAAATATTCCTGCTTCTGTTAAGAGTTATGGAAGTTAAATAACCCCCAAATGTTTTTGCAGTTCTACGCCATTTATAACCCTGTAAGAAAGGAGCATCCTCCACACTTCTAACAGGGAAGCTGGTAGCCCTTTGATTCCATGGGAAATGTTGAAGATGACAACAGTTGCGATGACATTGATGGCAGCAGCGATGACGACATCAATACAATTAACCTGTAGCACCTACTATGTGTGCTTTATTTGTAAACTCCATAACTGTTCCAGAGTTATTTTTAACCCCCATTACCACTACAGGGCTACAGATACATGACCTTTGACCAGTCAAGAAATTGAGGCTCAATTAATTTTCCAGTTTTCCCAGAAACATAGAATTTGCTCCAAATTTGAGATCTGTGTGGCATGAATTTGAATAAAGTACTAAGTAAAACAACAACTTTTTTTTTAATGTCACTTTCTAAAATCTGTCATTGTTCCCATGGGGCCTGGTAGGTCACAAATTCTAGGCAACTACTAAACAGTAACTTAATAGCCATGGCACATAGTTCCACTTGGGGTTCATAAGAATCCGTGATTAGTCTGAGTCTCAGTTAGTAGGACCTCTGGGAAATTCACTGACGGATGAATGTGTGAAATATCAGCAGTGAGATAATAAAGTTACTACAACCCAGTTTTTCTACAAAGTTTTTCCTACAAAATTTATTTATGAACATGATTCAGGAAGTGATAATTAATCCTCTGGACATTTTTTTGCTCATTTAAGAGCCAGAGTGCACATGATATTTGGAGCATAACACATGTCTATACAGTTATTTTGCAGTTAAAATAGGAATCTCATTGGTCTAATCAACCATCATTGTTCCCTAGGACAATGCCTTTTGATCTTCTTTTCATAATATAAAATATTGAAATGTTTCGAAATAAATATTTGATCATAATCAGGATTTATTGATGCATATCACTTTCTGGTTCTTATTTTATTTAGGAATTGCTCCAATCATTGTGGGAAGAGGGGTTCTATGTAAACTCATGGGTGTATAGATGCAAGTATACATCTGAAATTTTCTTTGTGATAAAGTTATTACCAGATTAGGAATTATAATTTGGTGCTATTGTTCCTTTGTTGTTAAAGCATATAGACAATTTAAACTGTTGCCAATAAAAAGGGATTTTAAAAATATTATTGCCAAATCTTTAAATGTTGATCATCTTTGATGGGCAGGAATTCACAGGAGTGCCTTTTTCTATGTAGCCTTTGGGTGTAGGGGAGCATACCACTTTTAATGAGGAAGAAATAGCTAAAAAGAGGATCAATAGATACTTGGCTCCTTCTAGCCTTATCTATCTTCATAATTAGGTGATACATATTTATGAAGAAATGATATGAAAAATGAAACATGCTCAGCAGCAAATAGCCATAGACCATTTTTTGTATGTGGGGTTAGTGAGTATCGATGACTAGAGAGAATTCATGGGCATTTCCCAAGAGGCCACCTTGGCCATCACTTTTTTCAGCAGTGAAATGGTTTCATTCTTTTCAACAATGGAATTGCGTGTGCCCTTCTTTGGGTAGGCATGCTATCCTAGTTTGTTTCATTTCATTGCTTACTTATGGAGAAGTCTTTACCATTATATCTTGTGCTACTTAAGACTTTAAGAAGTTTTATTGAATTCAACTTTTAACACACTCTTGAGGTACAAAAGACTACTGACAAATGTGCATGTAATTGTTTTATGTTTATCCCAATACTTGGTATTTCTGAGTAGCCATTGACTCTAGACCCCAAACCTCTGCCTTTTGTCTGTCTGAAAGAGCACCCAATAACTTGTCCAAAATAATTTGCCTTGGTTGTAACTTTGTTCACATACGTACTTTAACTAAAAACCAACAGATCATCACTTACTAGAGAATCATCCACCATTGCATTCTGTGGACAAAGACTTACAAACTCATTCCTTACTACCGTTGAGTCGTCTGACTCGCTGTGGCGCTAGAGCAGGTGGTAGAAAGACTCCACCGGCTCTGCAATGCTGCCATCTTTACCAGCACTGACTGCCGCGTGATTGCTCACTGAGTGGCTGCTGCCTTCAAACTGATGCCCTTTTGGATAGTTAGACAAGTGCCTCGCCATAGCGCCACCAGGGAAACTGATGAAATACTTTACTAAGAATGAAGACCAAATAATCCAACAGCAACACAAAGAAGCAGATAAATGTTGCTTAGGCAATTGTTAAGTTTTACAAAACACCTATTTTTCTTGAGGTGCGCCGTAGTAACATACTGCCTAGCACCATCCTGCTTTGAGCTCGAGTTCATTGTTTTATATGATATTTTCTGGTGGCTGCTAATTATCATAAGCTGTCCAATAAAAGTGATGGATTGTCCAATTAACTCTTCATCAGCATCCGTTTTTGAAGACTCTACCTATTGAAACGGATGGCAGTTTATGACCTCCATGTTGTATATGTAGCTAATTACTCCTTGGACAATAATTATTAAGTTTCTTGTACCCCAGTCAGTCATTCTGTTTTACAAATTATGATACCACTGTGTTCCCTACTTCATTTGACTTCACAACTATGGCTCTCCAGGGGATACTAAAGATGTGCTGTGGAACGGATAGATCAAATAAACACTGACAGAGATTATAAATACGTCTGTTTTGCAGATTCTCCATTGACCGGCATACTGACCTGGAGAGACAATTCAACATTAATGCAGACGATGGGAAGATCACTCTGGCGACACCTCTCGACAGAGAATTAAGTGTATGGCACAATATAACAATCATCGCTACCGAAATTAGTAAGTTTCTGGATTCTTCTTTTCTCCCAAGATTTTATTTCTGATTAGTGATTACTTGGCACATGGTCCCTGTTTCTCTTCGATATTTTGGCATTTGAGGTTGGTTTGATTATTCCCCAGGAGCCTCTAAATGAATCATCTCTTCATGAAACAATTCAAGCTGTGATAAATTACCAAAAGCTTGCAAGAAATGTGGCAAGGAAACATTCTTATATATCAAAGGAAGATCTGGTTAAGTGGACCAAAGCACAGGCATAGGACCAGGGAACAATATGAAAGAAAGAAAATATTTAAAAAATGTAAAATAAGGGCAGGGTGGGGAGGGGATTAGTAGAAAAGAACAGACTAAAAAAAAAAAGCTTCCATGAACCTTAATACTAAAATTGAAATAATTATAATATATTCAATGTAAATTCTTGTTAAAAATAATGTATAAAATTTAAATAGGCACTATAGTTTAAATAATATATGCTTAAGCAAGATAAAAATACACTTATTTTTAGGTACACACATATGCATCCACATATACATGCGAAATATATTGAAGGAGATTTCACACTACCTCAGTATGTTTATTTTGGGAAGGTAAGATGATAGACTTTCTGTTGTTTTGTTTTATTTTGTACAGTTTAATATCCTTTACACGGTAATCAAGAGCTGTTTAAAATTATGTCTTCAATTTAAAATTTTTTCATTGACTACATGTAGAGATGTAAGTTATTTTTTAACCAAGGTGAAGTTTTTCAGGATTGTTAAGTCGCATATGTTTGCCTTTCTGCCAGTTTTTAAATGAGCATGTCTCCTTTGATTGCACTTAATGACATTGTTATTGGGTCTCTAAAATTCTGGGTAAAATTTAGTTTTACAGTATGTTTGAAGGTTCTCAGTTTGCCTCACAAATTTTTTATTGTGTCAAAATTTGCAAAAGGGAAATGGTGTTCATTTTATTTCCAAGTAAAATATACTTTGTATACTATGTGATTATCTTCCTTCCGTCCAT